CGCGAAGGAGTAATAAAGCACGCACGAAGCGTACAGCAATGACAAGGCAATCTGGAAAAGATACGATAGAGCAGGAATCGCGTCGAGGAACGAATGCGGATCCGAAGACAACGGGGAAATAAAGGTTTGTAAGATCGAGAATATAGTGTCCAGAAGGATGAGCCCGAAACCCGCCCATTTAATAATCACTTTTTCACGTTCTCGAGGAAAGAGCCGGATTAGCGTCTGCACTTGTGCCAACCAAAGGAAGAGGTCTGAGATAATTCTCCCTATCCGGATGAACGTTCCACCGACAACCTGACGGCGGACCTCACGAGCTTCGTTGGTCATGCTGCACAAGCTAGATCCGCGAAGCATGTACTCCTGCTCTAGTACCGACGTCGTCTCTGCAAACGCAGTAGTCAAGCAAATAACCACTGTGAGCGTAGCAACTTTCTGCAGCCAAGGTCTCGAATTCGGGGGGTTCGGTAAGAACAGCAGGAACAATAGCACGTATGCCAGCGTCGTAGTCGCGGATATGGAGTACGCCATAGGAATAGTAGAAGCATAGAATGGGTCCCGGAGTTCACCTGCCGCGAGCGAGTCGGCTGATGCTTCGTCCACGGATGTCGCGGTCGAGAACGGCGGGTAGGTGCTCGTGTAGCAGTCCGGTGTCACCGTCGCATTGGCGGCGAGGGTGATCGTTGATGATGGGGAGAGAGAGATTGTCCATCCTTCTGGAAGCGTGTAGGGTGCGCAGGTTGGGGTCGTGGCTCTGGGGACTGGAGGTGTGGTCGCTCGCCAGTTTTGTCGCGGCATGACTGTTGCCGCTGGTGTCGTCTTTTATTGTGGGAGTTTGATATACATGGGAGTTTTTTTTTTTTCTTTTACCTCCTATTAGTTCGTTCCTGGTTTAGTGATCGGGTGTGATGAAGGTGATTGAGGGGTTAGGTTTTTTGGTGATGGTTGTTCGTTTGTTTCAGATGATGGTTGGAGATGGGTTGCGATGATGGTGAAGAGATTTTGGCTTGGTCAAATGCTTGATTAGTGTGTGGGGGGGTGAGAGGGGTTTCGGATTGGTCCTTCGAGGGAGCTTGTGTCGCAGGGATCTCTAAAGTGAGACAAGGACTTTTGAGTGGGTGGGCGGGACGACGAGGACCTCGATTCACTGATAATCCAACATCGCTTTCTGGTCTAGTAATTAAGAACTTGTGCAGAAGGGAAAATCATGATTCCAAGGCCAGAAAGCGATACCGGTACGCCATACTCGAGTAGAGGCATGCATGCATGCAGTGAAAGTCATACAATAGAAATTATTATAGAAAGGTATAGTAAGTTACCAGAAAACAACCATCTAAGACGAAGTAATTGGTATTCGATGATAGCTTGGGATATCACATAAAGCACCAGCACTAAGGTGAGCGCTACCAGAAGCTATGCCTTAGTCCCCCTGAAATGATAATTCATGATTTCAGTTTCACCTACTGGCACCCCTCAACTTTCCATAAATAGAAGGTTTAAAGGCTATAAATCTACTATTCAAAGCACACCAAGGGGAAAAGCTCCTAGGATAAAGGCAAGCTTTGCACAATCACGCTTACTCAAGTATCTAGTCTCTAGTGTTAGACCATGTAGAAACATCCAATAGCCCAATGCCAATGCCTACCAAGAACAGCGCTACAAGTATGATAATAATTATAGTAAAAAGTATAATAAGGCACCCAAAACCCCCTACATACCCTAAGAAGGCACCCCCTCCAGAGTCCTCTCTCCCATCACCATAAACCCCTTACTTCTAGAGCAAAAACCAAGGCCTAAGCCGACGAAGTTATCATCCTCAATATCACCCACACCTAACAACCAATGACAACTTCATATTCTACCTTCTCCTGAACCACCCCGTACTCACAGGCACATTTACGTAAAGACAGAAGCATGCACAAAACATAATCCAACAACAGAAACATGTGAGAACGGGGATTGTGGGTTGGGGGGGGGGTAAACACTAGCCTCAGGGTAGTTCAACTCATACCAAATAGGAAGTTAAAAGCCTTAAGATATAGAGTTAAAACAAACCCTTACATCAAGTTTCGGATCTTCGATACTAGGATACTTTAAGTTGGCGGAAGTTCTCTGATACGGTATATCATAGGACATGCTATACGCCGACAAGAAAGTAGGCTTTTCCACTACTGAAGAGGGTGTCGCCCTCTTGCTAGATTGTTTATGAGGAATGTGATATTGATCTGAATTATTGGCCCGAGAACTACCAGTCTCAATTACGGCAATGTTAGAGCATGCCCGCACCCGAGGCCCCCACAGTAACCTCCACCATCGAATACTGACAGGGTGCTGCCCGCCTTACGAGCCTCAAACTTGAAGAAAGCGTTTCCAAATTTGGTCACGGAGTGACATGCTATGAACCAATTTATTCCATGCCCATCAGTCAACTAGGTAATCAATCTCGCTCATCTCCCTAATTCCCTCATCCCACCCTCTCTCACCTCTTCTCACCTCTTCTCACCCCTTCCCCCACTTCCCCAGCATCGCCTCACGCAAATGCAACACTCAAATAAAAGCCAACTAATACAAAAGAAGAAAGGTATCCCACCGCCATGAATTCGGAAGCGAAAAGAAGAAACAGAAAGAGAAAGAGAACGAACGGCAACATTTACCTACGGCACTAAAAAATATAATAATTCAGACAACCCCTATCTGCACCCACGCCAGCCTAACTCAACCTCCTACCATAGTTGAAATATATGAAGGAAGTGTGAAGGGAAAAAAAGAAGAAAAGCCGGGGTAAAAATAATAGTCCACTCCCCCGACAGTGCTCCCCAGCCTGATACACCTAGCAAAAAAAAAAAAAAGGAAGTACGAGTTTAAAAGAAATACGATTTATTCCGAAACGGTGAGAAGGGAGAGGAAAGCTAGACGTCCTGGTACAACAGCAGTGGTTCGCCAACATGCTCGATTTCTGGTATAGTGCACTTGAGATCGAAAGCTTTAGATAGAACAATTTTGAAGATCTAGGATAGGCGTTAGCTAGGGTTTGGATAGGGCGAAAATAGTGTGTACAACCTTCTGGACATTGATGCTGTGGCTTGTACTGGAGAAAATCAACGAAGCCTTCATTGCGCGAGCAAATTTCCTTGCCTATAATACGTCAACATAAAACTAGACCCACGAGCCTAGTATCTCATACCTGCTTAGAGATCTCCTCCTGATCTTCTCGCGGAAAGTTGACAAAGTGGTCGTACTTGGTGCCCACCAAGAAGGGGATTGCGGTCTATATCCAGAAACGTTTGTCAGCTCCAATTCATGCCCAAATACGAAGACACAAGTACCTTGTTAAATCCCCTAGCCTGACGATACCATTCCTTGATACTATTTAAAGTGCTCTTCCGTGTAAGGTCGAACATAAATAATATCGCAACAGCATCGTTGCATACCAACGGCAGCATATTGACAAACTCTCGCTGACCACCCAAATCCCAGATCGAAAACGTGATCTCCGTGTTACGGATAGATATAGTTTTCTCCATGAAATTCACCCCTATAGCCAGCAATCAGCACACGATCACCACCACCACCACCGTGAGCACGATACCTGAGAGAGGGGGGAGTCATACCAAGAGTCTGGATGTAATCCTCGTCAAAGCTCCCTTCCACATACTTCACCATGAGTGAAGTCTTCCCAATCTGAGCATCTCCCACCATGCCAACCTTAATCACCACGCTATTCCGTTTGCCCATATCCACCGCTCCTCCGCTCCCGTAGTGTGCTTGAGTTGGCGTAGTCCCGGCCCCATTCTGCTGGTAAGCGAGCGATTGCGGAGGAGGAGGGGGGTTCGGTGGAGGTGATCCGAAGTTGCCGGCGGTTGCAGGAGCTGGGCCAGAGTGGTGGTGACGAACAGGAGACAGCTGCCTTGGAGGTGGGGAGGGGGGGGGTAGAGGTAGATTTGAGGTTGGGGTAGTCACCTCCTCGGGATCATCGGGGTACAAGCTATCGGGTAGCGGAGGGGGGGGTGAGGAGTTGAAGAACGGCGGAGGGGTGGTGGTCATGATGATAGATGAGGAATTTGGTGAAGGTAGGATCGTTTGGTTGGAGGAGGAGGAGGGGAGATGCGTATGTAGGAGTTGACGAGTGGTTCAACACAAATGGTTGAGCCTCAGTCAAAATGACCGATGGGGAAAAAGGCCGCACCAACTACTCCCGATGGAGGTGGAGATGCAGCAGCCGCGAATTGAAGGTGAACACTGCGGGGGGAAGCTGTGCCTAGCAAGAAGAAAAAGGACCGTCGAGATGGGTATCTATCAGCGGCCTTGTAGCCCGCAGCCTAGATTGAATCCCTAACTCGATGGACTGTAGGAACAGGAAAAAGGAGAGAACGAACGACACCCAATCCCAAGTTTCAGCACGGACACACGAACACCCACACAACAAGCGAGTGAACGCCTAAGGAGAGTATGGGATTAGTCTATGATCGGGTATCGTGGAGTGGTTGATCGCTGGTGGGTGGAGGGGCACGGACGAGAACGGCAATTTGGGCAATCGAGGTTCTTAAGGCAGCAGGAGTAAGGGTTTCCCGTCCTCTGCCCGCAAGATGAATCAAAGTATGTACAGACAGACCGAGTCAAGTATTCAATTCATCTCAGTAATTTGTGAAATGCTTATCTAGCCAGCGGAGGGGTGTGTTCATACTTTTATTAATATCATAACTCAGGGAACACGTTGAGTGCCAGGTGCCAACGACCCTTGCCCAAACCCTTGGCAACACGTGAATCTATCACCATACCTCACTCGAATGAAGCTTCAAAGGCTAGAGACTTTACCGCACTCAAGCTGCCCGATTGAAGTTACGCCTCTTTTGGTACGTCACAACCAAAAAAAAGCCGCTAATTCAACCTGATGACACGAGCACTCGTTTCCCTTGCCAAAACAAAGAAACCCTTGTAAGCCAGGGGCAAGGTGGTTTATTCTAGACAAGATTCGAACTCTACAAGCAAAACAAAAAGTCTGGACAAACTGGGAATCGAACCCAGGACCTTCTCAAGTTACGCCATGCGAATGAGATATTATACCCCTAAACCATTTGCCCGGTAGGAATCTCCATGGCTTAGACAATCATATTGCACAATTACGCTTTGTAACGTCCTGGTTTCCAACAGTTGACTGCCAACGAGCTTTCTCAACTTGACGGCGGGCTGAACAAGCTACCACTTGTCTCTCCCCCAAAAAAAATTACCTCAGATTTCTTCTGAAAAACAAAAAAGATCCTGGTCTATCATAGGCTGGCTTGTTACAGCGGGTTTTTATGGTATTCGTAGGGATCTTGTGGCAAGAAAATCCACTCTCGTGTCAGACGATTCCATGGTAAAAAACAAATGATGAAGAAAGGGAGCGATATATGTTAGCGCGATGCTGGCTACGAATTAATCCCTTACATAAACTCCCTGCATTCTCTCTCCAACCAATCCCACAACTTCGGGCCATTCTCACCGCAGCCACTCATAATATCACTTCTCGGATTACCAAATCTACCCCACGGGATGACATATGCCCCGTTGCGCGACTCGTCGACTTGTGGAGATAGGCCAGCGAAAAGCTCCGTTAGGGCACCGTAGTACGGTTCGTAGAGCACTAAATTCTATGGGTTTTCTACGGTTTAGCGGGCGGGGTATTGGGAAGTGGGGATAATGAGGGGGGGTCATACAATTATCGGGGTTAGGAATCTCCCGGAGATGTGCCTTATTAAAGCTGTTCTCAAAATTCCTGGACTAAGGGAAACGGAGAGGATTCCTGATCTGCCCCATCTCTTAACTGCCTCGGCTGCTAGAATGATGTTCGCCGCTTTGCTCTGGGAATATATTTCAGGTTTCAGGGTGAGCAGCCTAGGGATGTCCCAGCCGACGTTCTCGAAGTTGAGGTCGGGCCAGTTGATCCCGCCGGGGGCAGGAGACCAATGATGTGCGACGGACGACACCTACAATTACTTGTTAACTGGTTGCAAGGCAGAGGATCGAATGAATTATATTTACCCAAATAACGCGAACACTATCCTTTGGCGTGTCTGGCAGCGTAACCGTCCGCTGCATCAATGGGGTAAGAAAACTCTGAAACAACCAAGGAGCTATTACGTTTGTTCCTAATTGCAATTCGTAGCCTTGTTTGCTCTTAGATCCGCTCGGCGGCATCATAACACCAGCGTTATGCCAGACAACATCTAAGCGGTTCTCCTCCTTTAGGAAGGCTTGCGCAGAACCCTTGATGGTAGACAGATCATTCAAATCCAAATTCAAGAACTTGAGCCTTCCGCTTGTATCTGGGGCCTGGGATTTCACCCAAGAGATGGCGTCCTCGGCATTTTTTTGACTGCGCCCAGCAAGATAGACGGTGGCAGACTTGCTGTAGAGTATCTATACAAGCAACACTCAAGAGTCAGAGGAAATCTTAGAGACAGCAGGATAGCATGCATTCACCTTGCAGAGCTCTTTTCCGATGCCAGAGGCTCCCCCGGTAACGATGTAGACCTTAGAGGAGAGATCCGGGAGGTCTTTTTCTGTAAACACCGGCGTTGGCGGGAAAACTTCAGACAGTGTCGCGGTCACGAGCTCCATGATTGTGTTGCAGGGAGGGTTGTGAAGGAAGGTTGCGTTGAGTCTGGCTTGGGGAAGGATAAGTACTGTACCGATAGTGGGTGTTAGTCAATTGATTGTTTAATGGAGAAAGTCAAGGGTAAGGGCAATGAGGTATTAGTAGGGAGCTTGACAGAGAATTTTTACGGTATGATGCTGGTATGATATCGCAACCTGCCGGCATCGAGATCATGCTGAGCTTCCGCCACTGCACTTTAGTGCAAAATGGAACCCTGATGTCGCTCCTGCCGTTTGGGTGTGCGCATCAGCAGCCCTCGGTTGCTGTTCGCAACCTTAAATTGACATGGGTCAATGTTCTCACTAAATGTGATAACGGCTTTCTCCCTGCTTTGACAGCGGTGATAACTTTCCTAGCACTGAAGCTGAGGATTAACTTGCCTGAAATCTCTTTTATCATAATACTTTTTTTTGGTAGGATCAGGAAAGTGTTGTCGCTGCGTCATTACACTTTGGGGTGCTGACTAAAACTAATTCTACAGCGAGGAGCTTACAGCGTTCATAGTAGCGAAGCAGCCATACACCAACTTACCCTCCACCATCAGTATTAAAACCTCCCTCGGGATATTTAACCATGACGCCTTGTCTTGATATTCCGTAGACTAGCAACTATATTATCAATCCACTTTATGGTAATCCACTCCGAGGGATCTGATTTTACAAACTTTTCCTAAACCCAAGGCTAACTAACCCCTTGACCAAAAGTGACCAAAGAAGGGTACTGTACGTATTATAGTTTGGGCTCTCCAGAAGCAAAATTTCCTTCAATAGCTTTTGACAAACCCCACATAAAGTATCAAATAGGATGAAGGTGATTTTTATGATATTATGGTGAGGGCTTTCACCGCTCGCCTAGGAATCGATTGAGGTTTTTATAGTGTATATCACGAGCCGACTCGAGTCGAGCCGGACCATGGGCTCGAGCTGGCTCGAGCCTGAATTTGTTAATCGATACAAGATATCACATGCCCAAAGGTAGAAGTTGAAGGTCTAAGGCGAAAGATTCGGCAGATTGAGTAGAGAATAAACGTTGAAATGTTAAACAAAGAAACGATAGAGTCAAGTATGAGTTGGATATTCATGGAAGAGTCTATAGACCTCCTCAACCTGTAATTCCTCCTCCGCATCTAGCTCTACATAATTTATTTCTAAGAAATATCTCAAGAATCGTGCAAGCTATAGAGTACGAGAAAACATTTGTTTTACACCCTACGATACTAAGCCACCCACTGACTTTAGGCCTCCAATGACGCGTGCAAACGGATTCCCAGAAGGAAAACCTTTTCTAATGCTAAAGTTCGTATCTTTCCTTCTTTCCGGGCATCAACTAGGGCTCTTATTCAGATATCCGTCACCTCCCGCCTTCACCAGCCCCTCCCATGACCTCTCCCTTTTGAGTCCCGTTCATGGCCATCCCCCCTACCCGTTGTAAGATTTGAGATAAAATGTTGAGAGAACCAAATATCGCAAAAGCTCGAGTTCAAGTTTATGCCGGCTCGAGGAATTAGTCGGCTTGTATGGCTCGAGCTTCTCCGCTCGTGGCACACACTAGGTTTTTAGACAGCAATATTGATTATAGCAACTATTGTATCTAGAACCAAAGAAATAGGAGGGCTGTTATTTTTTTATTTGTAGCCACTGTGACGAGGTAGTGGATGCGGGTGTGATAACAGCTACTCATAGCATATATAGTTTAATAGTTCTTCCTTATCGATAGGCTGTGATTTCTTCATGAATGATGCAGATCTAGGAGACCTATTTATTGTTCAAGAGTTAGGCTCTGTGCTAGATAGTCTATACTCGTGAGGTGTAACTTAGAAGAAGGAAAGCGGATAACTTAGTCAACACCCATATAAGGGGCGCAATATGGGATACTGATAAGAAAATGATTTGTTACAGTATCGTGACTTGGTACTTTTCGCATTCTTAAACTAACAGTGGCTACTTGTAAATAAGTTACCTTGAAAGCCGGAATCATAAGGTATTGCACTGTAAGTCTCCTACCTACTTGCAGGCCTTCCAAGTAAGGTCCGTCTCCCAAATTCCCAGCCCGTATTCATTATTGCTCATTGGATACTAACATATGCTAGAAGTTTTAGTGGCGGTTACTTAGAAGATATAATAGCAAGAGTTAGGTGTAATCACAAGGTATTATATCATGTCCTCTTAGCATACAATATCATGTGCCTAGTCTGGTAGAAACGTAACCTAGTTTATGAGCAGAATACCAGTACTTCTTGCTGACTACCGTAGTATAATAGCTTCCCAATACCGCCACCACGGCCCACAACCCCCAACTCAAGACTGGCGGAAACGGGCAATAGAAGTTCGGCTTCCCATCCCTCTTCCGACCGATCCTAGAGCGAGCTATAGTACTTTACCAACCTCCTACATAAGTTTGAAACCACATCTTATACGCACCGCCCTATCTTCAATCCCTCAGACACTTGTATATCATAAAACATTCTAGATCCTCTTCCTCCCTCTCTGCCCCATAGACATCGACTAAGTTAGGTCACCACCCCACCTACTTAACTTACACTCCTCCAAGCACCTCAAAATACTATACCTAATCCCATACCAAACTCGGATCCAGCACCCCCCAAACACCTAACTTACCTACCTTCCCCACATGAATCCTCCCACTCAGATTATCGATATATTATACGCACCTACACAGCATCACGGACTCCCCCTATACATCATACCCGAGCCAAAACCAAAACCAGACCAGACCGCCAGCACATGACCCTCTACATATCATCTCATCTATCGCCTTACCACACCGAAATCCGACACTATGCTTACCGCAGGTTCCGAACCATAATGCCTTGTTGTTTCCCGAAGTTGTGCTCCACACAATACTCAGAATGAGGAGCCAGCGGAAAAAAAAAATGGTTCGTGCAGTGCACGCTTCATAGGTTGTTATTGCTTTGTTTCGCCCTCACGGAGGGCTAGTTAGAAGGTGTCATAGTTTGAGGGAGTTTAGTATGCGAGTGATATTCTGTGGATGTAGAGTTAGTATCATAAGATAGATGGGTGTGTAGGGTTGATGATTGTCATAAGGAAGGGAGGAAGGAAGGAAAGAAGGAGGATCAGGCCGAGTGAGAACTGAGACGGGAGCTGGGGGTTCGGGGTCGCTTGGTTGTGGCTAAGGGGCATTTGACCGATGGGCAATGCCGCCTGGCTGAGGGTGCAGCTTTGCTGAGTGTTCGCTGGTATACCGGTTTCACATCACATTGGAGGGACACATGCGTATCGTACTAATCGTGATTGATCATATGCCTCGGGTTCTGACAGTCCACCGGGTTAACTTAACTAGTGGTCCACACTTCATAACCTTACGGCGCTTGCCTCTTCATAGTCTATTCACTCATACAGCATGTCTAATCCGCAGCTATATATACACCCCAACCAAACCTAATAATGCACAACAAGCGGCGCT